AAAAAAAAAAAAAGAAAATGGGCAGACCAGCCAATCTTCCTGAACCTGCTGCACCCAGTCTCCTGGGAGAAGCAGTGGGAAGCCCATGGCAGGCACCACCTCTGAGACTGGAGCTGGCAGAGGGGGGGGGGTGGGTGGGTGGAGCATGAGACACCTGGAGGAGTCAGCAGGCAAGTCCAGAACCTAGAAGTTGTCAACAAGGTGTGCCTGTGGCAGCAAGCACAGAAGGGAACATGAAAGTCAGCATTAGAGATTCAAGTATTCTCTACCAAGGTTTGATATGGGAGAACTGGAACAAGACAGCTTTGAGAGTCAGGGAAAATCAAACATGGAATTGCCTAAGCCCAAGAACTGGAAGTTGCTGTGAACTATGATGCCACAGCACTCTACTGAGGGCAACAAAGTAAATCTAAATAAATAAAATAGGCTTGGTACCTGTAGCACAGTGGTTACAGCTCCAGCCACATACACAGAGGGTGCCTGGTTCAAACCTGGCCTGGGCCAGCTAAACAATGGCAACTGCCAAAAAAAAAAAACCAAACAGGCATTGTGGTGGGCACCTGTAGTCCCAGCTACTCAGGAGACTGAGGCAAGAGAATCGTTTGAGCCCAAGAGTTTGAGATTGCTGTGAGCTGTAATGCCAAGCACTCTACCTAGGGCAACAAAATGAAACTCTGTCTCAAAAAAAAAACAAAACAGCGTAGCTCAGCAGCTAGGGCGCCAGCCACATATATTGAAGCTGGCACCTTCAAACCAAGCTCCGGCCTGCCAAACAACGACTACAACCAAAAAATAGCCGAGCGTTGTGACGGGCACCTGTAGTCCCAGCTTTCTGGGAGGCTGAGGCAAGAGAATTACTTGAGCCCAAGAATTTGAGGTTGCTGTGACATCATGGCACTCTACTGAAGGTGACAAAGACACTGTCTCAAAAAAAAAAGGAGATGGCTCAGCGCCTGTGGCTCAAGTGGCTAAGGCGCCAGCCACATACACCTAAGGTGGCAGGTTCAAATCCGGCCCTGGCCCACCAAACAATGATGACTGTAACCAGAAAAAATAGCCAGGCATTGTGGTGGGCACCTGTGGTCCTAGCTACTTGGAAGGCAGAGGCAGGAGACTTGCTTGAGCCCAGGAGTTGGAGGTTGCTGTGAGCTGTAATGCCATGGCACTCTACCCAGGGGGACAACTTGAGGCTCTGTCTCAAAAAAAAAGGGGGGGTAACAGACTTAAATAGGTTTTGGGGGGTGGTGCCCGTGGCTCAAGGAGTAGGGTACTGGCCCCATATACCAGAGGTGGGGGGTTCAAACCAGCCCTGGCCAAAAATAGGTTTTGGGGGTTTTTTTTTGTTTTTTGAGACAGGGTCTCATTCTGTTGCCAAGTCTGGAATGCAGTGGTGTCATCATAGCTCACTGTAGCCTCAGACTCATTGGTTCAAGCCATCATCATGCCTCAGCCTCTGGAGTTGAAAGCTGTGACTAGAGGGGCATGCCACCCATGTCACTCGTTTTTTAATGTTTTGTAGAGATGAGGGTCTCACTATGTTATTCAAGCTGGACTTGAACTACTGAGCTCAAGTTATTCTCTCACTTCAGAGTTCCATAGTGCTGGGATTACAGGTATGAGCCTCCTGGACCACCTTTAAATGGGTTTTTACCAAAGAAAAATCTTCATCAAGGAAATGCAAATTGAACCCACAATGCAATACACTTTGGTTAATTTTTTTTTTTTTTTGAGACAGTCTCACTTTGTCACCCTTCCTAGAGTACTATGAGGTCATAGCTCACAGTAACCTCAATCTTGGGCTCAAGTGATTCTCTTGCTTCAGCCTCCCCTAGTAGCTACAGGTGCCCACCACAACGTCTGGCTATTTTTAGAGAGTTGAAGACTTTTTTTGGCACAATGCTATCCATTTGCCCCAGCACCACCTGCTGAAAAGAAACAAGGATGGCAAGAATCAAAAAGAGACAGGTTCGAATCCAGCCCGGGCCCGCCAAACAACGATGATAGCTGCAACCAAATAGCCGGGCGTCTGTGGCCCCAGCTACTTGGGAGGCAGAGGCAGGAGAATGGCTTGAACCCAGGAGTTAGTTGGAGGTTGCTGTGAGCTGTGATGCCAGGGCGACAGCTTGAGGCTCAGTCTCCAAAGTCTTTCTGGCCAGGTGCAGTAGCTCACACCTGTAATCTCAGCACTCTGGGAGACCCAAGCAGGAGGATCTCTTTGAGGCCAGGATTCAAGAACAGGAAGAGCAAGGGAGCAACCCTGTCTCTACTGAAAATAGAAGTATTAGAGGGCATGGTAATCCCAGCTGCTCGGGAAGCTGAGGCAGGAGGATCACTTAAACCCAAGAGTTTCAGGTCCCAGAGGCCACAGTACTCAGGGCAGCAGGAAGTCTGCGTCTTGGAAAAAAGAAAATGAAGAGGGGATATTGGCGAACATTAATATGCTAGAGGGGCCAGCATTGTGCTCAAGTAACAGCCATTTGGGGGACAGTAGTCGGGGAGGACAGCCGCGTGGGGCTAGCCCTGCGCTGGCAGGAAACACCCACGCGAACGAAGTTAGTGAGAACTTAACCCCACTTCCCGCATTAACTCCCAGAAGTCCCGGGACACAGCGACAAGCGACGACGCCCAAGGCGCAGGCTGACCCGCCAGGTCGGGGAGGGCCGCCCACGACCCCCGCCGGCCACGCCTCGAGTGGCGCGGGCGGACGACCACAGCCAGAGGCCTGAGCAGGAGTCCCGCCCCTCCTGGGAGACGGAGGGGTGCCCCGGGGCGTGTGGCGGGAATGTACTCCTTTACACAGACCACACTAAAGGTATTCCCAAGTGAAAGTGACGACATTAGTCCGCGGGGCGCGCCCACGAAGTTCCGCACCGCAAGATGGCGGCAGCGCGCCCCCGCCCTTGGCGCATGCGCGCTGGCCGGCCTCGCCCGGAGAGCGGAAGTCGCGTGACCCCGGAAGTGAGACCCGCGGGCGGCGGCCGACGACATTCGTCACTCGGTGCGGGAGGGAGTGAGACCCGCGCGGCCGACCCTCCGGTGAGCAGCTCTGCGGGGCGGGGGCGGCGCGGTGGGAGCTGTGGCTGTGCGCAGAGGGCTGCGGACGCCGCCTTTGTCTGCGCCCCGCCCAAACAATGATGACTGTAACCAGAAAAAATAGC